AATTAAACCTTATTTTCAATAAGCAATCCTGAAAAATATTTGGGGGTGCTTAACTTTTTTCCAGGTGTATATATAAATAAAATCATTTCCAAGATAATTCACAAGTTTTAAAATATGGTTTAAAACTACCAACCTTCCGACAACCAAGACTTCAATCTCTGTTGCTCGTGGTCTGAACCTATTCCAGATGTCGATTGCAAACAAAGTAGAACTGCTATTAAATACGGAAGTCAGAGAAGTAACTAAAGCCGCCATCATTACGGCTAGCATAAGACCACTCGCTCCTAAAAAATAAAATCAAGTTAAGTTTCAGTAACACGTAAACCTTCAGTAACAAATGGTATGTTTTGATTACAGTAGGTTTAACGATTCTTTTCACCCCAACTTTTTATTCATTTACATAACCTATTGAGTCATAGAGTGAGTGTTACATTTATCCTGTGTATTTGCATTTTTCCATTTACGCTTCTATGACTGATATGTTGCTGATTGAGGCTAGTTAATTCTGCATAAATACTACACGTTATTATTATCAATATTTATATGATAGGACATAATTCATGAGCTACTACTGATACAAAAAATAATGTAAAATATGTGATGCTCAGCAATTAAAATACAAGTTCATATTTGTGAAGATGGTGACTGCTAAGAATTTCAAAGGGCGAAATTAACAGGTTATTGGTTTTCACAATACAAGTGAAAATTGAATTAAAAGGTTCGTAGGTCCATCATAGATGAATGCAATCTCAAATGAAAAGCTTGAAGGGTACATCGTGGCGGGGATCAGGGAGACCAGCCGCCCCTGACAGCTTTCTCTCGTTTTAAATCTAAACAACAGAAATATTAAACATGTTTAAAGCTTCCAGTCAGTACAATTATCTTAATACTGAGCCAATACACTGAGCTGTACACTAAAATGTCGATTCATAGGAGTCAGAGATACAACATTCGTTGTCACAGCACTATGGACATAGGTGTCAGAGATACAACATTCGTTGTCACAGCACTATGGACATAGGAGTCAGAGATACAACATTCGTTGTCACAGCACTATGGACATGGGAGTCAGAGATATAACATTCGTTTTCACAGCACTATGGACATAGGAGTCAGAGATATAACATTCGTTGTCACAGCACTATGGACATAGGAGTCAGAGATACAACACTCGTTGTCACAGCATATGGACATGGGATCAAGAGATATAACATTCGTTGACAACAGTCACTTATCGGACATGGGATCAGATATAGAAACAGTTCTGAACGATCATATGG